ACAATAAAACATAATTCCTTCCACAGAATTGAATCACTAATTCGATTCTTACGAGATTGTTCGTGGAGTCATTGCGACTAACTTAAGAGTGACCATTTATTCAGCAAAGAACTACAGTATTTTCAATAGTTAATTGTTGTAGTATATAAGAGTAGTCTATTAAAAAACTCGTAGAGAACTTCCAAGAGCAAAATATGCTGACAATCTGTGTAAATTCAGTTACCCTTTCAATCCATTAACCTGTACCTTGTTTAATGTAGAAAATGGAACAAATAATTGTCTCCTGAATCAGGTTAAAAACAAACACTATATATATAACCATATGTGTTAGATATATTGATCTAAATTACCATATAATGCGGATAATTTAAATTTCATTAAATTGTAGACAAAATCATAGCTATGAATACGTGTTATGATAGAGGAGTCGGACCCGTTTAGTAGTTAGTACACTCAGAAAAATTATTTGGTTGATTTAACTAGATTTTAACTGAATTTCAGGTCAAAATATTCTTACTCAAATATTTCATATTGATATTCCAGATGTTGGTTTTTATATTTTCTTTATCAAATGAGCTAAACTTTTTCTAACAAAATGATCAGGTTAATTTAACTAGTACGTAGTTAGAGCATATTTTTCTGAGTGTACCTTTTAGTAGTAGGTACTAAGCACTAGCATACTAGTTAGATGATATATTTCTAGTGACACTAATAAAAAATGTTTAATATTACTATAATAATGAATTTTATATTTTAATCAAGAATTGGTTACGAGTATTCAGATTTTTAATTCAAATGAAAGCGACAGACAAGCTGTCTGTGTATAATTTAATTTTTATTTTACATATTTTCATTATAATTATTTCATTACCTCAAGATGGAGAGAAAATTTAAATTGGCATAATGACACGTCATGTCTTGAGTATTGGTCACGAATGTGAATAGAATGATGCATGAATGCTTGTTGAATACCAACTAATACTATATGCGCGAGTAACAATAAACAATAATTGAAAAAAAAAAAAAAAATAAAAAAATAATAACAATAAAAAATAATGTATGCATTCTTAAAATTCAAATTCAATTTCATTTAAAAAATGAAAATTTATAAATAATTTTTTAGTATAATAATCAATACTAAGATTAAAATGTAATTAAATTAAAATTTTTTATCTACTATGTATACTTTATATATATATAAAAGAATTATAAGTTTGCAGACTATGTACATACAAAGCGAGAAATATTAAGTGGTTTACTTATCAAAATTTAGTATCAAAACTATAACTTAGAGTACTTCATATTCATTTCTCACTTCTCACAAGAACTTGGAAACAAACTTTTACTTTTAAGACTAAAACGTGTAACTTTAGAAAACTCTTATCTGACTAAGAATCTAATCGAGTTAGTCAAGTATGAAATACTTTAATATTTGTATAGTGTTTATTTCATATTGCGTGAGTGTAATTTATAAATTAAATAGTACAGAATATTTAAAGAAATTCATAGCTTTGCAACTACAATACATACTTATTAAAAATACGACTAAGTTTGAGTGAGAGAAGATTAGAAATACAATATAATTGAATAAAATTAACTAATTATTTTTTAATTAACATAATATTCGTTGAATATAATCAGAAAATTATAATAAATATGCATACAATAGAAAAAGTTATTACACTTTAGGATTTTAAATCCCAACATGCAGAAAAATCTTAGTCATTTCAAAACTTGAATAAAATAAATTGACTTCTATATAAACTTAAGGATAGAAATGCAAATAGTAGCAGGAATAGTAGATAAATCTTAAAACCTACTCGAGGTTTTAAGATTTATAATGACTAATATTTACTAATAAATATAGGAATAAATACATCAATTTCCTAGAGCATATTAACTCAAGTCAAGAAATGGGTCCAATAGATCCATATAACTTTCATTGAACTAAGTTAGATTTAAAGGTTTGTACCGAAACACATTAGAATTCTCAATAGCCACAACTTTTTCGCAATAACTTAGTAAATTCTCTAAAGGATAGCTCAACACATTTTATTGTTAGCAATGCATCATTGTCTTTTTTAATAATAATAATTAATTAAGCAATGATGGATGGGTCTATGGGATTTATCTATGCGAAACATTATCAGGGACTTATATATTGCCTATTGAAATATGACCACTCTTTTTAACCTTATAGGTCATGTTTCCTTAAAGAAATAATTAGTTTTTTTATAGATTTCAAATTGTGTGGATTGTGTGTTTAGAAAACTCTCTATTCGAACAATAGATCTCATAGAGCGCAAGGAGTCATTCCACTTTCTAATAACAATAACTGAAGTCATGATGGCTATATTAGATATTTCACATCAAAACATAATTAGATGATTTGTATTGCAGGTCATAACTTGTAGGTCATATTTTTTTGAAGAAATAGATAATTTTTTAAGTGGTAGCATTAACTTAGAAGATTCTTACTAGAGATAGCACAATAGATCTCACAGACCGCAATGTATGTTTATATTTTTTAATACTAATAATTAGTCAAACCGTTATCATTCGCGATGTGACTAGGTATAATTACTTAGAATGCTGTTAAGATTTTGCTAGGCAAAAATTAATTTATTAGTTTACTTTTATTACAGCAATTTAAAACATGTATAACAAGCGGAATTTCTCTGGAGAAATAACTTTTTTTTTGTGAATTCCCTTTTGCCAATTTTACAAAACTAAATTGTAGATTGTAACCAAGCCACTCCATGAAATGATCCACTTATTATTTCGTGATCATGCACATACATTATAGTCAATATATAAATCACAAGTCCCCTTGATTCTCTCCCTACTAACTTGAAGATGCTTAATCTTGTAGGCCTTTAATTGATGAATTGGTTTATACAAAACGGATGACAGAAATTTATTCACAATTTATTTTTAAGAGGTGGTTTAGGTGTACTTAAATCTTACATTGTAGCTTGTGACGTTAAACTTGCTAAAAGAAAATAGAATCTACATTGCCAAATTAAACTGAATTCGATTAGTTCGAACTTAGTCCTTAGTGAAACTTCATCTAACACTACCTTTACTGAAAAGATAAAGATTAAATATAGAGATCTTTTTGTATATATGTATAAATCTCTTCATCTCTTCATCAATATCTCTTTGTAATTTTTCAAATCATTTTAGTGAATCCCACTTAGGCATTCTCGAACACTTTCAAAAATATAAGTTAACATATGTAAACATGCGAATCGAAAATCGGGTAATTTTCAAGCAATTTCTTAAACCCATAATACAATAAACTTCTTAACATGCTATATTTTCGTTCTGCATTCATTATGCATTATGCATGCTATTCACTATGCTAAACTCAATCAGTCATTACCTGATATAAACGTAGTGACATGAATGTAATGTTTAAGCAAACAAATCGATTTCGAGTGAGTGAATGCTTGAATATGTTTAATTCTCAACAAAAATATAACACCTACAGTGACCGGAAAAAGTAATTCTTGTCAAGCCATGCCAAGTTAAGCAATTGTTGTTTGTGGTACGTGTATATATGCATAACAAAACAAACGAATGGATTAAATGCTTGCGCCAAAAAGTTAGTATCAAGCAGTGAAAATGATAGAAAGAAACATAAAGAGTCATTGTGTTGTGAATAGAAACTTTACTTAATATGTTTAGAGCTGAATAATTTAGAATCATCTGCCGGGATGACTTATATTATGAACTGAAGTATGATATCATTCTCCAAAAATTATAAAAATAAATTATATTTTATAATTTTCGATATGTAAACAGATATATATAAAAAAGGTTATCCTTATTTTATATTATTTAAAAAATATTCCTGTGAAATATTTGTACTCTCTTTAAACTAGCAAGAAGTATTGAAAATCACTAAGGAATTAATTTACACAATTGATGAATTTGTTATATGATTTTAATTAACTGATTTAAATTATTTTAAAATTTATTGTGACAAACAAAAGCTAAGCTACGAACGAAGAGATAAACAATGTAAATTGTAAATAAATATTTAATTAAAAAGAAATTGAATGCGGCATTGAAAATGAATGCCATGAAACCAATATTTACGCCCAAGAAAAATTAATTTTAAAAACATTTTATTTATTATTTTATTATTTTTAGACATTTATTTTATATTGTAACTAAATGCATTAGATGAAATTGATAGGAAAATACAATTATATTCACATATTTTTAATAAAATAAAAGCTTAATATATTTAATATACAAAAAAAACTTTCTTAAATTATTTAATAATTTATAAAATTAATAAAAATTTACAAAATTAATATATAAACAACGAAATTTTTGTTAAACGTTTAAAATAAATTGTCTATTGTAGAAAAAAATAATATGTATATATATAAAAAATTATTTTCAAGATTAATTTTTAATTTTTTATTATTATAAAGTCAATTATGATTTTAAATATATATGAGATTTGCTTTCATAAATCATTTGAAAATTAAAAAACAAAATTCTTTATTTTTTATTTTTAAAATGACGCACAAAATTTTTTTTTTCGAATTTATTTTCAAACACACGCAAATGAAAAAAATGCATAAAAATAGATTTAACAATAATTCGTGCACAAAATATTTTTAAGATATTTTTGTATTTTGTTCAAAACGAGACAGTTTTAATTAAGTTTTAAATTGTGAAATATTGAAAGTCTGAAATTATTACTAAAAAATTGAAAAACAAATCAATATTCTACAAAAAAAAATTACAGAAAGCAATACATAAAAAATAAATTTATCTAACTGTATATATATATATATATATATAGAAATAAAAATATATGCATATGGACGTTTTAATATTCATTATATATATATATATATATATATATATATATATATAG